TGTATGTATATAGATTGATAGATAGATACGTAGATACACATATATGAAGAGGCTAGAATAGATAGATAGATAGATAGATAGATAGAGAGATAGATATGAACAGGCTGAGATAGATAGATAGATATGAACAGGGTGAGATAGATAGATAGATTGATATGAACAGGCTGAGATAGATAGATAGATACATACATACATATGAACAGGCTAAGATAGATAGATAGATAGATAGATAGATAGATATGAACAGGATGAGATAGATAGATATGAACAGGCTGAGGTAGATAGATAGATATGAACAGGGTGAGATAGATAGATAGATAGATATGAACAGGCTGAGATAGATAGATACATACATACATACATATGAACAGGCTAAGATAGATAGATAGATAGATAGATAGATATGAACAGGCTGAGATAGATAGATATGAACAGGCTGAGATAGATAGATAAATAGATAGATAGATAGATAGATATGAACAAACTGAGATAATGATTCGACTGATATATATATATATATATATAGAGAGAGAGAGATATATAGATAGATAGATAGATAGATAGATAGATAGATAGATAGATAGATAGAGAGAGAGAGAGAGAGAGATAGAGAGAGATAGATTTGAACAGTTTGAAAAAAAGATAAATAATGAATAGACCGAGAAAGATAGTCCAGAACATCCTGAGACAGATAAATAGTTATGGAGAAATTGTCATAAGAACAAACTGGATTGGTAGGAACAGACGAACATTTTGCTTTACTTCGTACATTGAGCACTTTACGTAGTTGACTCTTACTCGCTTTGGAGGCTTTTTTCCTTTTGACTCCATTCTGGACGAATATTTTCACCTCAATTTTATGTTTTTGTTCCTTCTTTTTTCTTTCTTTATTTTCCCTTGGGCATTGGTTTGTTCATTTACAAGCCGAATTACTATATATATATATATATATATATATATATATATATATATATATATATATATATATATATATATATATATATATATATATATATATATATATTAAGATATTTTTGTACATTGTTTTTATAGATAGAAATATTTAAGTAAATGCTCTGTTTATAATAATACTTAAATATAAAAATATAAATGTTTAATAAATATTTGTGTCTTTTAAAAGAGTGTATAAACATAAAACTGTCTTAAAATAATTGTCGGACTTTTATATATATATATATATATATATATGTGTGTGTATATGTATATATATATATATATATATATATATATATATATATATATATATATTCAAAGATGAATAGATAGATACGTAGATAAAGACATATGAAGAAAAATAGATAGATAATTAAATAATGGACATACTGAGATAGATAGATAGATAGATAGATATAAAAAGACTGATATATAGATAGATAGATAGATAGATAGATAGATAGATAGATAGATAGATAGATAGATATGAAAAGACTGAGATAGTTAGATAGATAGATAGACAGACAGACACACACACAGACAGATAGATATGAACAGATTGAGATAGATACATATATAGATACATTGATAAGAAAAGAAAACGTATAGATAGATAGATAGATATGAAAAACTAAGATACATAGATAGATAGATAGATAGATAGATAGATATGAAAAGACTGAGATAGATAGATAGATAGATAGATAGATAGATAGATAGATAGATATGAAGAACTGAGATAGATAGATAGATAGATATGAAGGAAAACTGAGATAGATAGATAGAATAGATAGATAGATAGATAGATAGATAGATAGATAGATATGATAGATAGATAGATAGAGAACAGAGATAGATAGATAGATGCATACATACATACCTACTTATATTAAAAAGAAAAGAAAAAACATATAGATAGATAGATATGAAAAACTAAGATAGATAGATAGATAGATAGATAGATAGATATGAAAAGACTGAGATAGATAGATAGATAGATAGATATGAAGAACTAAGATAAATAGATAGATAGATATGAAAAGACTGCGATAGATAGATAGATAGATAGATATATAGATAGATATTTATGAAAAACTAAGATAGATAGATAGATATGAACAGATTGAGATAGATAGATAGATGCATACATACATACCTACTTATATTAAAAAGAAAAGAAAAGGCATAGATAGATAGATAGATAGATAGATAGATAGATAGATAGATAGATAGAAGATGATAGGAAACTGGACGGTTATTCCTCTCGGAGTGCAGAAGCCATTGTTGTGATATGTTAGTTATTATGAATGTTTGTTATTCTCTTACCAGAGTGACGCGTAAGAGATGCAGAGTGGCTGAGGTAAGTCGGTAGCATTGGGTTTGGTAGGAATTGGTCGGGTCTTGGGTGGGGAGATCTATGCCAAGAATTGCTTTCCAATTCTCTTCTATCATCATTTGAAATACAATTGGCTACAATCTGCATGGCCGTGCGAGTGTGCGTTCAGGATCAGGCGGGTTTGTTTATTTTGAAGTTGATGAAGGCATCCTATCTTGTGGGTAAGTGATTAATATGGAATGGTTTGGAGAGAGAGAGAGAGAGAGAGAGAGAGAGGGGGGAAGAGAGAGAGATGGATGGTGGGATGTAAAGAAAGCTAGATAACGCAAGAGACAGATGAATATAGAGGTGGGTGGGAAAGAGAGAAAAGAGTGGAAATAGGAGAGATACTGAAAGAGGGTGAGAAGAAACAAGGGAGGTAAAGAAGAGAGAGAGATAGAAAGTGAGAGTAAGAGAGAGATAGAGGGGGGAGAGAATAGAAACAGGGAAGGAGAGAAGTAAAAAAAGAGTGAACGCAAGAGAACGGCAAAAAAGATGGAGAATAGTAGGGAGTGAAAGAACGGAGATATTTTAGTGCAGAAGAAGACAAAGAAAGAAAGAGTAAAGAAAGAAGGGAAGTAAAAAAAACATGGGGCAGAAAATGAGAGAAAGCTGAAAGAGAGAGAGAGAGAGAGGGAGAGAGAGGAATAAGGGTGGCAAAGAAAGAGATAGAGTGGGATACAAAGGGTGGTATATTGAGAGTGAAAGCAAGAGAGATAGAGTAACAGGAAGAGAAAGTAAGAGGGAAAGAGCGTAAGGTATAGAAAGATAAATAGATAGATAGATAGGAACAGACCGAGATAGATAGATAGATAGATAAAGAGCAGAAGTAGATAGATAGATCGATCGACCGATAGATAGATAGAAAAATATGTGAGATAGATCGATAGATAGGTAGAATGATGGATAGAAAGATAGATAGAACAGACTGAGATAGATAGATAGATAGATAAAGAGCAGACGATAGATCGATCAATCGATAGATAGATAGATAGATATGTGAGATAGATCGATAGATAGATAGAATGATGGATAGAAAGATAGATAGATAGGAATAGACTGAGATAGATAGATAGATAGATAAAGAGCAGACGTACATAGATAGATAGATAGACAGATAGATATGTAAGTGAGAAAGATCGATAGATAGATAGAAAGATGGACAGAAAGATAGATAGATATGAACATACCGAAATAGATAGATAGATAGAAAGATGGACAGAAAGATAGATATGAACAGACCGAGATAGATAGATAGATAAAGAGCAGACGTACATTGATAGATAGAGAGATAGATAAAGAGCAGACGATAGATCGATCAATCGATAGATAGATAGATAGATAGATAGATAGATATGTGAGATAGATCGATAGATAGATAGATAAAATGATGGATAGAAAGATAGATAGATAGCAACAGACTGAGATAGATAGATAGATAAAGAGCAGACGTACATAGATAGATAGATAGATAGATAGATAGATAGATAGATAAAGAGCATACGTACATAGATAGATAGATAGATAGATATGTAAGTGAGATAGATCGATAGATAGATAGAAAGATGGACAGAAAGATAGATAGATATGAACATACCGAAATAGATAGATAGATAGAAAGATGGACAGAAAGATAGATATGAACAGACCGAGATAGATAGATAGATAAAGAGCAGACGTACATAGATAGATAGAGAGATAGATAAAGAGCAGACGATAGATCGATCAATCGATAGATAGATAGATAGATAGATATGTGAGATAGATCGATAGATAGATAGATAAAATGATGGATAGAAAGATAGATAGATAGCAACAGACTGAGATAGATATATAGATAAAGAGCAGACGTACATAGATAGATAGATAGATAGATAGATAAAGAGCATACGTACATTGATAGATAGATAGATAGATATGTTAATGAGATAGATCGATAGATAGGTAGAAAGATGGACAGAAAGATAGATAGATATGAACAGACCGAAATAGATAGATAGATAGAAAGATGGACAGAAAGATAGATATGAACAGACCGAGATAGATAGATAGATAAAGAGCAGACGTACATAGATAGATAGAGAGAGAGATAAAGAGCAGACGATAGATCGATCAATCGATAGATAGATAGATAGATAGATATGTGAGATAGATCGATAGATAGATAGATAAAATGATGGATAGAAAGATAGATAGATAGCAACAGACTGAGATAGATATATAGATAAAGAGCAGACGTACATAGATAGATAGATAGATAGATAGATAGATAGATAGATAGATAAAGAGCATACGTACATAGATAGATAGATAGATAGATAGATATGTAAGTGAGATAGATCGATAGATAGATAGAAAGATGGACAGAAAGATAGATAGATATGAACAGACCGAAATAGATAGATAGAAAGATGGACAGAAAGATAGATATGAACAGACCGAGATAGATAGATAGATAGACAGACAGATAGATAGCAAAAAACAGACGTAGATAGATAGATAATGTAAAAGGGGAAGACATGAACGATGTCCAGACAGAGTTCGGCTCGAATATATATTTCGTCTTAAGCTTGGCATTAACTGTAACTGATTGAATGTCAAAATCTTTCTCAATTTCCTATCCTTTTCTTTCCCATTCGTCTTCTTTCTTTTCCTCTTTTCCTTTTTCTTT